AGAAAATATCTTTTTTTTTTTTGGCTCCGGTCGTAGGGCCTGAATTCTGGGCCTGGGCACTGTCCCTCAGCTCTTCAGCTCAAGGCTAGCGCTCTACCACGTGAGCCACAGCGCCACTTCTGGCTTTTTTCTTTTTGCTTATGTAGTGCTGGGGAATCGAACCCAGGGCCTCAGGCATGCAAGGCAAGTTCTCTACCACTGGGCCACCTTCCCAGCCCTAAGAAAATATCTTTAATTTAAAAATGATTTAGAATAAAAATGATTTAGAAACATCAGAATTTGGCTAAAGATGGATACTTTCTTAAATAATGAGCTATAACAGAGATAACAGTATTTCTGACTTATTAATCTGTCTTTAGCTTAATATTCTTAATGGAATATTGTGGATATCAATATCGCATATATGATGGAACATGAGGGATAGAAGGAGAGTTTTTTTTTTTTTGGGTCCGGTCGTGGGCCTGAACTCTGGGCCTGGGTGCTGTCCTTCAGCTCTTCAGCTCAAGGCTAGCCCTCTACCACTTGAGCCACAGCACCACTTCCGGGTTTTATCTTTTTGCTTATGTGGTGCTGAGGAATCCAACCCAGGGCCTCATGCATGCAAGGCAAGTGCTCTACCACTGAGCCACCTTCCCAGCCCAGAAGAAGAGTTTTTTAAAGTTAGAAATCACTATTATACACCTTATTGGCTTCAAATTGATGAAATTCTAAAGAAAGTCCATTTTTCTTATATATACAGGCATTTCCCCCAACCATATTATTAAAACATCTGCTTTAAATCCCAACTCACCTGCTTAATGCCTAGACCTTTCTCATGCATATATCCCAGATTAAACATAGCTTGTGCGCTGTGTTGTTGCTCAGAAGCAAGACGATAATGAATAAATGCGGTCTCATAATCTACATCAGTGCCAAATCCATAGAAATGGTAGTCTCCAAGTTTAATTCGAGCCACAGTATAGCCTTCAGCAAAAGTTAAATGCAAAATTGCCAATAAATAAAGTGTGCTTAAAACAGACCAAACAGCCATTTTTCCTCCATTAACATGCTTATAGAATACAAATGATCTTAATTTGTAGCACACAAACTTTATAAAGTTGGTAAAAGTTTAAATGAGACACATATCTCCTTTGCAGAATGTTTTGTATCATTCAGCAAGTAAAAACAACCATGTTCCATTTTATAATGTTATTTACAGTTTACATATCAGTTCCCTAGTTAGATCTGGAGAAGAGCTAGACACACAACATTGAGAGGAATATGTATGTGAAAGAAATATTTACCACAAAAAGCGGTTTGGAAATCTAAGTCTTTTTAGGTTTCAGGACTCTATTACATGCTCTATTTAGTTCTCATTTTATAGAGTAAGCTGGCTTTTTAACTAGAAACCAGTGAACCACAGTATAATCACATGTCCTTACAAAGACTTTGGAATGCAATGGAGAAACCTGGGCATGAAAACTACCACTTTGTACAAGTTAAACAATAGTTAATATCTTTGATCAATTTTAAGATAAATGATAACAATTTAACGTTCATCAGGGATAAAAATTAATATAAAGAGTTTCCTGGGTGAGGTTCTTATCCCCGATTAACACTCACCTTGTGAAGCAGCCCTGTTCCAGTGTAACAAAGCTCTGGGGTAAGTTTCATTTTCACCTACAATGGTTGCTTCTCCTATAAAAAAACAAAAACAAACTGTACATTTAAGGAGAGGCATTAGACTTTCAGGGTTAAGGTGGATATGTGGAGCCTAACACTAATATTTAATAAGCACTGAGGGGCTGGAGATGTAGCTTAGTGGAAGAGTGCTTGCCTAGCAACTACAATATCCTGGGTTGATTGATTGGCAATCACGGAACAATTGTAAAGCTCCCCAGAAAAACAAGTACTGAAATTAAATAGGTACTAGAAAAAAAGTACTGAATTCAAACATTGGATTTAGGATGGTGCCATTTCCTGAAATGTGTTTTATCCACAGAACTAATGAAACTAATCACTGAACACTTCTTCTGATCTGGTGTTGGAAAATGATTGTTTTGTATTTAATCTATTTTGAGAAATGTATTTATTGAATGCAGAAATAAACTATGGCAGGACTAAATGAGCCTTACTCTGGTCGAGAATAAAGGCTGCATTGCTCTGGGCCACTTCATAGCCTTGTTCAGCCAGCAGGAGGTACTGTGTCACTGCAGAATTATAGTCACCGTCTTTGTAGCTGTTATAGGCAGTCATAAGCCTCTCAGACCAACGGCCTCTTTCACATACATTCTTAAACAACTGCAAAGAGAAAAACAAAAAAACTGTTGCATCTTGGCTAAAATCTTGGTGGTTATTAGGTTTACCCTATGAATCTCTAGCAGCTTGCCTTTTGTTTGCTCTGAAAAAGTTGGCTAGAGATGTGGCTCAAGTGGTACAGCACCAGCCATAAGCAAGCCAAGTGAACACAAGGCCCTGAGTTGAAGCTCCAGTACCGGTCCTATTACCCAACTACTATGGTTTGAATATGCAATGTTCCCACAGGCTCATGTGTTTTACATGTGGTCACCAGCCAGGGGCACTGTTTTAAGGGGCTGTGGATATTTTAGGAGGTGGGTCCTAGTCAGAGGAAGTAGGTTGCTATGAGTGCATCTTTGGGGGGTCTTGTCTTGTCATGGGCTCCTCTCTTTTTTCTGTACTGTGTCCTGTGTATTGTGATATGAACTGCTTTGGGACACCATACCCTCTGCAATGGGATTTCACCCTCTGAAGGTTGGTGCTAAAATAAATCTTCTCAATTTTAATGAGGACAGCCAAAGAGGAAAGTTTCCAATTAAAATATATGGCCAGCCTTCCTTCCTTCCTTTCGCCAGTCCTGGGGCTTGAATTCAGGGCCTGGGCACTGTCTGTGGGCTTCTTTACCACTTGAGCCACAGCACCACTTCTGGCTTTTTTTTGTGTATGTGGTACTGAGGAATCAAACCCAGGGCTTCATGCATGGTAGCCAAACACTCTACCACTAAGCCCACATTTTCTATTTTTTAGTGCTGACTATTAATCAGGTCCTGTCTCAGCAGACACCAACAGGTGTTCTTCTACTGATTTGAATAGGGAAAGACAAAATAAACACAGACTCCCAGAATCTTTCCTCACTATACTAATTCCAGTAAGCTCAGCCTTTACCTGCTGTAGAGGAGAGGACAGCATGTAAAGAAAACCAAAATGAAAAGGACAGGCAAACCCATTTCCTGACTAAGTAGGTGGGAGAGGCCTTACCTCCACCGCAGTGTGACAGGATCTCATGACCCCCGTCCCACTGGCATGCATCTGCGCTAGATTATAGAAAGCCAGGATGTGCCCTCCTTGAGAGGCTAAATTAAAATACTTCAGGGCTTGTTTATAATCTCTCTTGACTCCAATGCCATCTATAAGAAAACAAAATCACATTATTATTTTTTTTAAGTTTTATTATCTTCAAATAGTTGTATGAAGGAGTTTGTCATTCAAAAAAGCACATTAGGAATACAATGTGTCTTGATCAATGTCTTACAGCTGGCTTAGAGAAGCCATCTATATAAGGAATAAAGTTCTAATGAAAGTCTTACTTAGTGAACTATGTGAATTTGATAAAGATAATGTATTAATATAGAACTACGTAGCTTATAATGAAAAATAAAATGCAAGCCGGGTGCTGGTGGCTCATGCCTGTAATCCTAGCTACTCAGGAGGCTGAGATCTGAGGATTGTGGTTCAAAGCCAGCCCGGGCAAGAAAAATCTGTGAAACTCTTATCTCCAATAAACCACCAGAAAACCGGAAGTGGTGCTGTAGCTCAAGTGGTAGAGAGCTAGCCTTGAGCTGAAGAGCTGAGGGACAGCACTCAGGCCCAGAGTTCAAGCCCCACGACCGACAATAAATAAATAAATAAAGCACAAATAACTGAAATTAGGAGCACATTCATCAGGCAGAACTGGATAGTTCCCGTTTTCACATCATAGTGCCACCTAGTGGAAAACAGATCTTCCTGTATCTATCATTAATTACATGATGATTACATGGTTACTTACTATAGTACATGGAACCAAGCTGTAGCTGCCCATCCACCCAGCCTTGTTCAGCAGCTTTCTGAAAATACTTTAGTGCCAGATCATAGTTCTGTAAAAAACATGTCAAAATGATATAAAAACTCAAAAGACTGAGATATAAAGTCAGGAGTTTCATTCATTAAAAGAATGAACAAAACATACATAAAATATTCCTGATAAGTCATTAAAAGGACTCCCTGGACTTTTTATTTATGAAATACATATCTGTTAATGTACTTCAGGTCAGGATTAGTAGGTAAGATTTTGAAGAAAAACAAATACTGAGTTTTTGTTTAAAAATCTGTATGTTTATTCTCAGAAAGCATAAATACTACTAGACTACCAGATCTGAAATAATTGTTCTTTCTACTAACCTTTTTAAAATTTTCTTTTTCTAATATTAAGAAAGGAAAATGAGCCAGGCACTGTTGGCTCAAACCTATAATCCTAATTATTTAGGAGGCTGAGATCTGAGGATCATGGTTCAAAGCCAGCCTGGACAGAACATCCCTGTGAGATTCTTATCTTCAATTAAGCACTCAAAAACCCAAGTGTTACTGTTGCTCAAGGTGGTAGAGTGCTAGCCTTGAGCCAAAGAGCTTAGGGAGAGCACCCAGGTGCTGAGTTCAAGCCTCATGACTACCACCACCAACAACAAAAAAGCAAATGATGGACTGGGAAGGTGGCTCAGTGGGAGAGTGCTTGCCTTGCACGCAATAAGGCTCTGGGTTCGATTCCTCAGTACCACATAAACAGAAAAAGCCAGAAGTGGCGCTGAGTCTCAAGTGGTAGAGCGCTAGCCTTGAGCTGAAGGTCAGCATCCAGGCCCAGAGTTCAGGCCCCATGACCAAAAAAAAAAAAAAAAAAGGCAAATGAATCTTTCCTTATCTGTTTCTTCTTTGTGTACTTTATCAGATATCGTGGTTACTAGATTTTAAATGTCATGTGTATCCCCAGAGAAAGGTTAAAATTAAAATAAATATGACTCTGAACTTTAGTATCTTAAAATGACTAGAAGGAATCAAAGGAGGCCAAATTAATGTCTTTTGTGTTAGAGGATAACTATAAATTAAACTTTTCAATCTAGCTCTTAATTTCACGCCCAAATAAAAAGAACTTCTTGCTCGAAGAGATCCTACAAACCAGCATCATGAATCAGGGATATATCCCCACAGGAGGTAGCAGAGAATAAGATCCAGTGTCCAAAGAAAATAAAGATAGCTTGCAGTCACAGAACCCAAGGAAGAGAGATTCAAACGAAGTAGAACCAGAAAACATCAGCTGGACTGACATATGGGAGCCTCTGGTGAACTGGTCAAAGACAGTATAATTGTATGAGGCAGAAGGCTGACCACCAAGAAGAATGAATAGCAAGCCTTGGCTTGGGAAAACCTGTTCACACTTGGCTTTAAACTGAAGAGCTATAGATAAGACAGGTGGTAGGCAGTTCAAAGGAATAAAGGTCAGGATAGAAAGCTTTTCGTCTAAATGGGAGACTTGAGCATTTTGTTAGGCTTGAGTAAAGAAATAGGCAAGAGTAGGCCTGGCCCAGTGGCTCATGCCTATAATTCTAATGAGTTGTGTGGTAGAGATCAAGAGGATCACGATTTGACATCTCAACAAATAACTTGAGCATGGTACTTCACTCCTGTGATCCCAGCTATGTGGGAGGTATAGGTTTTTGCTTGGGCAAAAAGTGAGGTCCTATAACCTAAAGTCAAGAAGGCCAGAGGTGTGTCCCAAGAGCAAGGCCCTGAGTTCACACCTTAGTATTGCCAAGAAATATAAATACGTAAGTAAATAATAAGGCAAGGGAGCTTTTTAAACATTGAAAAATGGGAACAATAAAGGAGGGTAGAGCGCAAACACGGAAGAATGAAAAATAGTGTCACTCCTTCAGAAGGAGGCAGAGCCGGAGCTGTTTTAAGATGACAGCTGAGACGGGGTTGTGGCGTACAAGGTAACTCAGAGGCCACAGGAGAAAGCTCAACTTTGGTTACAATGGAACAGCCTCACCTGGGCTGACTGGAAACTGGTTAAGGAGAAATTTCATCCCTCATCAACTGACTGCTTACAAAAAGTCAGAATGCTAGACTGCACACTTACAACTTGAACTCCTCTCCCGTAGAGGTAGGCCATTCCTAGCCCACTCTGTCCAACTGGGTTGCCCTGTGAACCAGAGAAATCAGACAAGAGTAAAAAGGATTCCACTACAAAAAGGCAAGAATAAATGACTGTGAAAGAAATCATTTGCAAGCATATTCAAAACATATCTTAATAGTTTTCATTCAAAACAAAACTTCCTCCTCCTTAGCCTAAACAATCTGACTTTTAGACATTTGGGGACTGTTACTACTTTGTTTTCAAGAGCAAAGAGTAAATGCACTTAAGGACTAATTTTGGTGACTTACTTTGTCTGTACCACGAATTTGTGATACAAAACATGGCTAATGTATTGCATGAAAATTAAAAGCAAGTTATACTTTTTTGGTAGCGTTTTCTTGGCAACCCCTGCCCCAATAGAGAATGAATACATCATGGGGTAGAGTTAACAGTCATGTGCTAACAGCAGACTGTTATCAGGTGCAAAGACATACTTAAGACTTAGCAGAGCATCATGGAACAAAGGTAATCAATGTCTTGAAACTCAAAAGAGAAAAATCTAGAATTCGCCCAACCTAGAAGGATAGAAGACATCTTAAAAAAAGTGTCACAGAATTCCTCTGGGAAGCACTCAAGTGCATTTGAAAGTATAGTAATACAGTAGTTGGCAAAGAGGTTAAGTACACACAGTGGGGCATAGGTATCCATAGGCAGATTTTCTAGGCCTAAGAAAGCCTAAATTGTGTTATTAGGATTACTGAAAGAACTAGATTATGTAAGCTTTTTACAACTGCAGTACAAATAAGGTAGATTATATAACTATTACGTTTTGTAGCTAAAAAACAATACTTCCCTGGTTTCAAATACATTTAAATACAGTTAGTATTCAACAATCTAGTTCCTCAAAAAGGAATTGCTTTATATTGGGAAACCTTTGTCTAAGCAACACATTTGCAGGAACCATAGTTACAGACATACTTTTGATAATTTATGGCATGGGTTAGTTATAATTAATCCTCTAACACAATAAATTTACTATTTAAGTATCAGCATTGTGGCTCACATGTCAGTAATTGAGTCATGAAGTCTTACCATGTCAGCAGCTTTCTTAAAGTAGTGAAGAGCTGTCTCATTACTCTGAGGAACAATATCACTTCCTTCCGAATACATCTGGAAAAGAGATCCCACTTCATTGAAAGCTGTAACCCTCTTGCTAATTACACGGCTCTTCAGTCAGTTTCATCTCATTTGGGGTTTTATTAAGTTTCATGAAATCCATCTACAAGGCTACAATAGTCCGCAAGACATTTTAGAAGTAAAAGCAAACTCGTAAGCGGCAAAAATTTAAAATATTTTTATGTGTTTGATGTTGTATTAAATTTATGATCTATTTGTAAAAGTGAATGTCAGTTCACAGATTTATCTCAAAAGAAGAAATTTCCAGTTCTAAATGAATCATCTTCCTACTATCCCTGGGCAGCCAAATGGGTGACAACTCATTTGGGATCAGAGGAGTGGCTGACTAAACAGGGACAAGGACAGGGTTGGCAGATGCATATTACACTTTTTCTTCCACCATGGCTTCCTCAAGATAAAGGAAATGGTGAGCTTCAAGTCAAGACAACTATAAGGTTCAAAACACCAAACAGTTGGAGCAGCATGCATGAAAATATGACAAAGGGGCAAGAAGCAAGGAAAAGAGAATGCTAATGCTATTATTTTTTTTATCCACATACATATTAAATAATAAGCAGAGTTGTGATAGAGACAGAGTTAATTAGTAATTTAGGGAAAAAGTCAAAAGAGCTGCAGTGAAAAGCTTTTTTGTTTGTTTTTTGCTGGTCCTGAGACTTTAACTCAGGAACTGGGCGCTGTCTCTGAGCCTCTTTATGTTCAAAGCTAGCACTCTACCACTTTGAGCCACAGCACTACTTCTAGCTTTTTTTTGAGTAATTTATTGGAGATGAGACTCACAGACTTTTTTGCCTGGGTTGGCTTTGAAACATTATCCTCAGATCTCAGCCCCCTGAGTAGCTAGGATTACAGGTGTGAGCCACTGGCGCATGGCTCAAGAAGTTTTCAAGTATGCTGACATAAGTGAGGGAATGTCATTGTATTTCCTTTTTCGCCAGTCCTGGGGCTGGAACTCAGGGCCTGGGTGCTGTCCCTGAGCTTCTTTTGCTCAAGCCTAGCACTCTGCCACTTGAGCCACAGCGCCACTTCTGGCTTTTTCTGCTTATGTGGTGCTGAGGAATCAAAAGTATGCTAGGCAAGCACTCTACCAGTGAGCCCCTTCTCAGCCCTGGGAATATCATTTTATATAGTTATAATGTTTAATGTAAGGTTACCAGGTTCCAATTAGCTAGTTGTGATCATGTGATAAGTACTGATGAGATTTTCATCTGTAAAAATGTTTGTAATGTGTTTCATTCTGAACTTTCTTACTTTGGCACTTAGTTACACATGAAAATACCATGAGTTTCCACTGCATCAGTTTTTTTTTTTTGGGTCCAGTCATGGGGCCTGAACTCTGGGCCTGGGTGCTGTCCCTCAGCTCTTTCAGCTCAAGGCTAGCGCTCTACCACTGGAGCCACAGAACCACTTCCGTTTTTTTTCTTTTTGCTTATGTGGTGCTGAGGAATCGAACCCAGGGCCTCGAGCATGCAAGGCAAGTGCTCTACCATTGAGCCACCTTCCCAGCCCCTGCATCAGTTTTTAAGGTAGTGAAAGAGAAAGTTTTGAGATTCTTCCACAATGAGAGCTATTAAATATTTAGGTGTAAATATTTTCTTCCATGAGAAAAAACTGCACTGACAGGTGGATCAGAGCTGTTATATTTAAGATCTTTAAGAAATCTGTAGATACATTTCAACCAACTTCTTTTCTTCAAGAGAAAACAGAGTTGTTTTAACAAGACACTACATCACAGAGTGTCATTCCTCAATACTGCATGCAATACTCACAAAGTAGGAGCACAGATAGCAATAGCTAATTTCAACAAAGGATTAAGATACTGGAACAAGTGCCGTTACGTTTGTCCAAGAAAATGCTTCAGAATAGCATTTCTCTTAAGACAGGGTTATAATACCTATACAACAGATTCTACTCCCAATTTATGTTTGCAAATTATAGCTTGTGAATACAACATGTGCTCACTATGCAGACACCGCTCTCTACTGCCTAACACATTCACAGGTGTACAGTACCTTTCCCAAGAAGGCCATAGCATGTGAATTGCCAGCATTAGCTGCTAAATTGAAGTAGTCAAAGGCTCTCTGTGAAACAAATATATGAAAAAGAATTCATTTTTAACAGAACTTCTTTCAGCTAAAATACTTATTTCAAGGACATTGAAAGTTTTGTTGTATTATAGTTCATTTTTGTTTGTTTGTTTGTTTTTGTTGGCCGTGGGGCCTGAACTCTGGTCCTGGCCACTGTTCCTCAGCTCTTCAGCTCAAGGCTAGTGCTCTATCACTTGAGCCACAGCACCACGTTGGGCTTTTTCTGCTTATGTGGTGCTGAGGAATCGAATCCAGGGCCTCAGGCATGCAAGGCAAGCGCTCTACCACTGAGCCACCTTCCCAGCCCTTACAGTGGTTTTAAAAACTAAAATACCTAGTTATCTGAATTTCAAATAGAAATCTGAATATTCCTGTTTATTTTGTCTGTCAGGTATGTCAGGTATTATTTATCTCATGCTTATATTCACCAAGAAATTCCTGTGTTCCCTAAACATCAGAGCTAAGAAGACTTGTATTATTTACAGGCAATATGAGCTAGGATCAGATTTTTCTGTGTACTTTACTACTGATCCTTGGGAGGAAAAAAAAAAAATCTGTAAAAGGCAAATCTTTGAAAGGAAAATAGACGCCCTGGCACATGTGTCTCCGTGTTCCCGTCCTGTGTCCTGACTCCTGTTCGTCTCTGGTCACCATGGCATACCAATTCTGCTCTCCATTGGAGCTGAATTGGTTTGTTGGTATTGTTTTTGTTCTTTCTTTCCTCTCTGGCCTGTTTTCTAGCAGTATTTAATGTATTTGCAAACTGCAGGCCTTTGTTACAAGGAGCTGCCTGCAGACTGCTAGTGTTCTATAATAAAGACTCCAAGATTTGATCCCTCAAAAAAAAAAAAACACACAAAATAAAAGGAAAATAGCCTATTCTGGGATACAATTTCCTCTTGATTTTACTTAAAACTACTCAGGTATGATAAGCATTTAAGTGCCATAACATTACTATTAGCACTGACTATTAAAAAAAAACACATTTCATGCTATAACATCAGGAAAGCCTACAACAGGAACATTACCTGATGGTTTTGTTCAACTCCACGCCCTCCATGTAGATGCAGTTGTCCCAGGCCAACCTGAAAATCAACAAAAATAAAGTAAAAGCAAATGGTGGCATGTGACATATAATTAAAACCAGACTAGTAAGTAACTAGTTGGTCATAAAAAGGTTATGATACGAAGACTAGAAATTTAGTCCTAAGTCCTAAAGATACTATTCTATTTTATTTGCATAAAATTTGTATGTAATAAAAAGGTATGTTAAGCTGGATGCTGGTGGCTCATGCCTGTAAATCCTACCTACTCAGGAGGCTGAGATCTGAGGATTGTGGTTCGAAAGTCTATGGAACTCTTATCTCCAATTAGCCACTAGAAAATTGGAAGTGGTGCTGTGGCTCAAAGTGGTAGAGTGGTGGCCTTAAGTACAAGAGCTTGGGGAAGCAGGGCACCAGTAACTCACGCCTGTAATCCTTTTTTTTTTTTTGCTGGTTGTGGGGTCTGAACTCCGGGCCTGGGCGCTGTCCCTCAGCTCTTCAGCTCAAGGCGAGCACTCTACTACTTGAGCCACAGCGCCACATGCATGCAAGACAAGCACTCTACCACTGAGCTACCTTCCCAGCTCCTCACACTTGTAATCCTAACTAATCAGGAGGCTGAGATCTAAGGATTGTGGTTCAAAGCCAGCCAGGGCAGGAATGTCCGTGAGACTCTTATCTCCAGTTAAGCACCAGAAAACTGGAAGTGGTGCTGTGGCTCAAGTGGTAGAGTACTCACCTTGAGCTGAAGAGCTCAGGGACAGTCCTAGGCCCAGAGTTCAAGACTCATGACCAACCAAAAAAAAAAAAAAGAGCTTAGGGACAGTGCCCAGGCCTGGAGTGAAAAAAAAAGAAAGAAAGAAAGAAAGAATATGCTTTAAATCACAAAATACCTTCTGAAATAAGGCTGAAATAAACGGATTTTCTGCTTTAAGGGAAATACTAAAGATACTTCTCAGGCAACGAAGAAAATTATCTAAGGAACTTGGAGTGTGGGTACTCTACCACTTGAACTACACCTCCAGTTCAGCATTTTTGCTAGTTAGGTGGAAACTATCTCATGGACTATTATGTTCAGGCTAGCTTTGAAACTTTATCTTCAGATCGTAGCCTTCTAAGTAGCTAAGATCACAGGTGTGAGCCACCAGTACCTGGCTTCTACTATTCATTTCTATATCTTAAATCAGAAACAACTGGGAACCTAACAGAAGATAGATGGTATAGTTCTTTCCATCTTACTACCATTAAAAATAAGCCATGAAGCCTACAAGTGCTTGTGCGTGTAGAGTACTTTGGCCAACATTATCCATTCACATTAAACAAACCTTTTTGCAACTTTGAAGAGATTACAAACTAAGATGAACAAAAGAACCATGAGCAGTATATATAGCTGCTTTGAGAGCACCTGAGATTCTAAGAGTTCCAAAAGCTTTCAAGTGTCAGTGGTGCCCCATACATGTAGTAACTTCCAACTGTGGTATGTGGGTGAGCCATCTGGCCAACTGTTAAGTAACTATCAAGACCTAGGTCCCATCCCAGATAAACTCAGGGACTCTTGGTATTTTTTTTTTTCCTTAGTGTTCCTAAGGTGAGCTAATAATTGCTCAGAACAATATATACGTTACTTAAGAGATGTGTGTATCCCTTCCCCAGATTAAAATAATCAATGTAGGAAGATATTCCCTGAGATGATTAAGCACATACCTGTGCTTGTACGTCACCTTTCTCAGCTAGGAACTGGTAATACTGAATCAAATCTTCTTCTAGCATTCCACTGTTCATTCCTGGGTTTTCCACTTCATCAGGCAGCCGTATTCTCTGTACTACTGAGCCTCCCGTTAGTGATATATCACTAGCAACTAAAATATGAGGGCAAAACAACAATGGAGAGTTGAGTCAGAGGACTGTCTCATAGAAAGAAGTATCATTCTAGATGCCAAGTTTTTTTGACTAACACACGTTAATGCTACTTTTTCTACAGTAGTCTATCGATCACAAATTGTAAACTATTATATAATACATAATTCACAATTTTCCACAAAATATTTAAGAAGTAGAATCCAAACAAAATTAATCATCTAGCTTAAGGATGAATCCACATGACAGCTATGATATTCAAGTGCCACAATAATAACAGATGTATTTAAAGTTAATTCCATTTTGCTTTCTGGGAAGTGAAATGGGAAAAAAAAATAGCTACCATGATTGGCAACAAGACGATAATGGGTCAGTGCTGATTCACAACTCTGGAGGACTCCGATGCCAGCCCAGTACCGGTAACCCTGTAAGACACATTCAGGTGAGAAATGCCAGTTTCATAGGTTTTAGTGACAGTGTTTCTTAGAACAAATGAAGCTAAAACATACTCAGAATGCAATTCTGTTGTGCTCTGATCCAAATAAACTAGCATCTCTTTTATCTCCAGCTTTAAGTTCTGAGGTCATCTTTAGTAACTTCAACACTTAGACAATATCTAAGACCCAGAAATAATAGTATGTACTTTTCGCATAAAAGCGAATTACTTAGGCTCTCACACAGACCAACTTTAATCTTATTTTAGTCTTCAAAAGAAGGAGTGATCTTTCAAGCCAGTAAAGGAATAATAAGTTAACAAAAAGGGTTAAAGGAGACTACTGGAAGTAGGCCCAGAAACAACAGCAGTAACTTCAGAAAAAGTAGGAAGATTGCTAACCATGAAGACCATAAGTCTACCAAAGTAGAACTCTTAGGAGTCAGTCTGTACATAACTTTATAAACTCTAGCAATCCTCAAGGTTTAATGATTTAATAACATGCACACTTAATATTCTAAATCTATATCTATTCTTTAAGAAGTTTGGTAACTAATTTTGAAAAGAATTATGAAAATGTTTAATATATATGTCCTATACAAAAACCCAAGTTTTGTGTTTTATAAAAATTGACCTGAAAGGAATTTTCAGTTAGTAATTTGAGGAATGTTACCAGAGTAAACCAACAAATGAAAGAGATGAACATGAGTAAGAGATATTTCCAACACTTCCTTCCATTTTTCAACTGCTTCCGACCAACTTCACACTCCTTGGCATGACTCAAGCCCTCTTTGCTTGATATCCCATTTGTCCTGACTGTCAACCGCTGGGCATTCTATACCACAGAGCTTAGATTTTCCTGTGAATGTCTCTTGTTGCTGTACTCTGCATGTATTGCTCCGGTTGCTTGGGCATCATACTCCTGCTTCTTCCACTTAAAAACCACTACCCCCTGAAAAACCTTATTTGCTTTTTTCCTAAGAAATACCTCCTTAAATACTGCTCCCTTCCAATCCATGTTCTTTGATATTTTTCACAATGTATAATACTATAATGGATCTCCTTTTATTTCCCTTTCTATATCAAAATCTTGTTGAAGGAAGCTCATATATGTTATCTTCTGAATCTTAATGATATTTAAGTTCATTAAAAAAAAAAATGTGTGGCCGGGCACTGGTGGCTCATGCCTGTAATCCTAAGCTACTCAGGAGGCTGAGATCTGAGGATCGTGGTTCAAAGCCAGCCCGGGCACGTAAGACCGTGAGACTCCTATCTCCAATAAACCACCAGAAAACCGGAAGTGGCGCTGTAGCTCAAGTGGTAGAGCGCTCGCCTTGAACTGAAGAGCTGAGGGACAGTGCCCAGGCCCAGAGTTCAAGCCCCATGACTGACAAAAAAAAAAAAAAAAAAGTGTGGTTAAAATCATCACATCTACCTGGCTGGCCAGGTAGGAAGGACTGGATTTTCCTTTTTTGTTAAGTCTCAGAACCATCACTGACCAAGCCTATAGATCTGATTTTGGACTGGTTTCTCTACTTTTCCTCTCATGTCAACTTAGTCTATCTCTTATATTCCTGCCACAATGAACTTAAAATCACCTTATAATCACTTGAAATATAGTGCCATGTGTCAGAGGTCATGTGACTTACCCTAAGTGAGAGGCAGATTAAGCATCCTGGCAGAAAAATCATGTGGAGGAAAGATTCTATATTTACTTACTAAGCTACTTAAGTGATCAATGTTATCAGGGAACACAGGAACATTCTTAAGGTCCTTTATAGGATATACCCCTTTGTACAGTAAGTCCTTCATCAATCTAGATATAAAAATCTATCATAATTCAATCCAAAAAAGCATACTGATAATTCCAGTGTACGGAAAATTTTCATCTCCATGTAGATTCAAATTTTTATTCCTATTAGTAAGAATTTGGAGGACATTCAATTGAATATTTAGTCTTCAGTAAATTTTAATCATGAAGTGTAAAAAAGTGGCCACTGTAAACACAATTTTTTCTGTTTCTTAATCATATAGGCCTTCTACTGAAGTCATACTTACCAAAACCATGTGGGCTATTAGATTGCCTCCAAGAGCTCCAAAAGTATAATACACAAGAGCCTGTGAATGGATAAAAGACACTTAATTTAACACAGGTCAATATTTAATCAATTTCAATTATGAGATACATAATCAATTCCAATTATGAGATACAATTAAGCTTTAATAGTGTTACCTTTGCCTGACTTGAATTAACACCAAGTCCAGAGGCATAGAGAAAGCCAAGAGCCTGAAATACAAAAATAAAAGTGAAAATTCTTCCTTTGGTGAAAGTTTTTTCAACACATTTTTGTATATAAGATGATGCAGGGTTGGGATGTGGCTTAGTGGGAGAGTGCTTGCCTAGCATACATAAAACCCTGGGTTTGACTCCTCAGTACCACATACACAGAAAAAGCTGGAAGTGGCACTGTGGCTTGAGTGGTAGAGTGCTAGCCTTGAGCAAAAGAAGTTCAAGGACAGTGCCCAGACCCTGAGTTCAAGCCCCATGACTGGCAAAAAAAAGAAAAAAGATGCATGATCTTTTTCATAATAAAGATTTGAAGGCAAATATGCAAATTGTGGAATAGCCTAGAGATATATTTGGGCTTGACAAATTAAATGCACCCTTAAATAAGTTGAAAAGTGGGCTGGAAAGATGGCTCAGTGGTAGAGTGCTTGCCTTGCATGCGTGAGGCCCTGGGTTTGACTCCTCAGCACCACATAAGCAGAAAAAGCTGGAAGTGGTGCTGTGGCTCACTTGGTAGAGTGCTAGCCTTGAGCTGAAGAGCTGAGGTACAGTGCTTAGGCCCCACAACCGACAAAAAAAAAAAAAAAGTAAAAAAGTTTAGTTAGAAGATTAATAACAATCTAATGAAACATTAACTATAAAACAAAGTTAAACCTGATTTTCACATCATCTTTGTGGATAGTGTTAAGAAGACAAAAACCACTCTCCCACTATTAGATCAGTCTGTTTCTGTCTATGCAGAGTGGGATGCACAATGACAATGAACAAGAGAGTACTAAAATAATCCTAGGAGTGAAAAAGCAGCAGGGCACCAAGGGGGAAAGGCCATTGTACAATGGCCTTTCCTAAGCACCACCACCAAACCCTGCATTGATGAGGTTCTACTCAGACCTTCTGCGCATCATCCTGAAGACACTCAGGTTATAAAGAAGGTGCAGCAGGGAAAGCTGGGGCAATCCATGAGTTCCTCTACATGTCAGCCTCCCTGTAATTAGGTAGGCCTGTGAACTCTGCTGCTGATAAAAGGTATGTAAGCCATTTTTTAGGCTTGGCTGTTAAAAACATCCTGTGACATTTTCAGCTCTTTCTTTTCCCTTTCTAGTGGCCTGGAAACCCCGTGTTCTGGATATCCTAAGTACATGGTTAGCAGACATGGTCAGGAGATACAATGTGTAAGAGGATGATGCAGGCAGGAGAGCTCAACTGAACCTGGCATGAACAAGAAACAGCTCTGGAGTGCTAAGCTACTGTCATTTGGGGGCATTGCCTGTTGTTGAATCATCAAGAACTGATTACTAAGGAGAGAATGCTTTGTAGGATATATATAATGTGCTGTGACATTGCAGAGACCTATTACTACAGGCAGCTGATGCTATATAAAGTGAAACCATTCTTCAGAGCAAAATGCCTCTGAAGATGATCTATGTAATAACACATGAAGCTAATATTAACTGACTTAAGCAAAGGAGAGAGAAAAGAATTGAAAATAAAGCAGGGCAATTAAGATATACAATCTGCATATGCTTATACCTAGCACTAAAAATACAAAAGAAGATGAAAACTCATTACGTATTCAGCTTCGTAGAAGTTGTTAACTGCTTAGTATGAAAACAGACTTTCTCTATGAAATTTTATTATTTTTTAAGCACATTTCATAGCTTGAATAAACTTGAATTATTCAAGGCAATTTAAGCAAATGTGGTGGCCTTTTAAACCCAGGTGTCAATCTCTGTATTACTAATATTGTTAGGCTAACTTTGTCAGATACTATGTTATCAAGGAATATTGAGCATCCTCTACAATGGGACAGCTGGGACATCCTGTTTGTAGAAATACAGTTGACATGAAACAAACTGAAGGATGACTTGAGGATACAGAGGAATTCTACCAATTATATTGGATCTGTCTCTAACACAGAAAAAAAAAAAAAACCTTACAGGCATGGGGCTGTTAGAAATGAATATAAATACAGTAGTTGTGGACTGGATACTTGCTTGGACAAAATGGGTACAAGAATTTTTGGCTCAATGCTTTATCAATCAGTATGTTGTGGGTACCATATAGTGTAAAAAATGGCTAGACTGGAAGGGTGAAGGATGTTGACTGAAAAGAGCAAGTTATGGAACAGTAGGCAATGCATTTCATTTCAATCAACACTCACAAGTACATATATATCAAGAAAAAATTCTAGAAAACTCTGAATGCCCTAACATTATTAATGCTTAGATGTGGGTGGAGCATTACCACCTATGTGCTTGGTAGGTATACACTCTACTACTTGACCTATATTTCTACCCCTTTTTGCTTTTTTTTTCAGATAGGAATTGTGTTTTTGTCTACAGTCAGCCTTGGGCTTTGATCACCTAACCAATGTCTCCTAGTGGCTAGGATCACAGACGCATACCACCATATTCGGCTTGTTGGTTGAGATGGTGTCTCCTAACTTTTTGCATTGGTCTTAAACTGAAATCTTTTCTTTTTTTTTTTTGTCGGTCGTGGGGCTTGAACTCTGGGCCTGGGCGTTGTCCCTCAGCTCTTCAACTCAAGGCGAGCGCTCTACCACTTGAGCTACAGCGCCACTTCCAACTGAAATCTTTTCTATCTGTGCTTCCCAAGTAGCTGGGATTAAAGGTTTATACCACCGTACCTGGTTAATAAGAGCCTGAATATCAGAATTTTGGAATAAATGCAACAATGAATTATTTCTCTATAGATTTAATTTGGAAAGGCTGCAAATATATCTTTAGTCACAAATGTTCTCAGACTAAGGGAAAGGAGCATCCAAAAAGATAGGTAAAATGGTCTGTTAAAAAAATTAATATAGGGGGCTGGGAAGGTGGCTCAGTGGTAGAGCGCTTGCCTTGCATGCATGAGGCCCTGGGTTCCATTCCTCAGCACCACATAAGCAAAAAGAAAAAAGCCGGAAGTGGCGCTGTGGCTCAAGTGGTAGAGTGCTAGCCTTGAGCTGAAGAGCTGAGGGACAGCGCTCAGGCTCAGAGTTCAGACCAGACCCCCCCCCCCAAAAAAAAAATTAATATAGTACTTAAAAGACATGTCACCATCCAGTCTCACTTGTGAGGGCATAAAGGGCAGTTTTGCTATTAGTATACCCAGTGAGGTGTGCAGAGGTTCTTGGAAATTGCACTTACAGTTTGTCCTTTGGGAGAGCCTTCCTCAGTCAGCTTCTCAAACATTGATTTAGCTGCCTGGATATTCTGTGTCAGGTAATCACCAAACAGAAGAGCATATGACACTCTCTCCAGGGCTTTAGTGTGGTTCATGCCTGCTGCCTTTTGAAGATACCTATATGCTCTTTAGATGTAAGAAATTACAAAACAAATTAGCAATGGTTTTGGACTGTCTTTAAAAGATTAAAAAAATCTACTGAAGTGCAACATAAATAATTTTCTTTTTCATAGTATGAAATTTCCTCTACTAGTACCCTGGATACTTTGACTTATAGAAGGTGCAGGGTTCTCCCTGTCATCTTAGACTTTTGGGAGTCTAATTATACCAATTAATTCTAAAAATATGTAAAAGGTTAACTAGGCTTGTATAACAGAATTTCAATATAATGGTGTCAGGTGAAGATTGCACAAATAAATTACAATTTTCCTTTTCACTCTGCACAGGCTGTATAATCACTGTTTTACATTCCTCCCAAGTACAAATTTTAAGTTTCAGTGAAAATTTCAAAGCAAAACCAAGAAATGACATACCTGATATTTCTCTTTGTTTTCTACTATTTTGAGCCCTAAATAGTATATGCATTCTTGGTTCTTAATTATAATTTTAGTCTGATTTAAAATTTTCTCACTGTTGATTCTTGGGACCAATACTTATAAGTTAAAATTAATAAAAGTAATGGCAAATCTTCTGTGTCTCTGATAGCAAAGGTTTATTTTGTTTGTTTTTTAAGCAGTATTGGGGCTTGAACTCAGTGCCTTATACTCTTGCTTGGCTTTCCCCCCACCCCCCTCAAATCTGGTGCTCTACCACTTGCCCATATCTCTTACAAGTTTTTGCTGGTTAACTGGAGATAAAAGTTTGTAAGATATATCTTCTAGAAGTAAGAAGATCAGGTCTGGCCGGTGCCATATTAGGCCACACGGTGGATTGTAGGGTCTGGCATCTTGTCTTCATTCTGGGGGAAGGACCCCCACCCCCCGCCCATCACGTGCCTCCCAGGTAATGGGTGTGTCTGGATCCCTGGAGGCAGCGGCAGACACTTGGCTGATAGGTTATTGAGCCTGTCAGTTCAGTGCCTGGGACTGAGAATTTCCTATGTACCTGCCCCTTGCATTGTCCTATTTAGGCTGGATCAGCCTAGTGCCATTATGCCATGCCATGTGTGTATCCGTGATCGTGTCCTGTATCCAGTCTCCTGGCTCATCTCTGGTCATCATGGCGTCCCAATTCAGCTCTCCATTGAGGCCGAATTGGCTTGTTGGTATTGTTTTTGTTACTTCTTTCCTCTTTAGCATGTTTCCTAGCTGTGTTATGGGTATTTGCGTGCTGCAGGCCTTTGTAACAACAGACGGCCTGTGGCCTGTTAACTGTATAATAAAGACTCCAATAATCTATATTTCAAAATGTGGCTTCTGTTATGATTCACCTTACAACATTCTTATACTGGCTTTGAAACATGATTCCTCAGATCTCAATCTCTTTAGCTAGGACTACAGGCATAAGCCACCAGTGCCCAGCCCTTAGCAGGAGTTTTGTAAAGTAAATTCTTGGCTATTTATTGCATGAGTGGTCTATCTTGGGGAAGAATGGACTTAACAGTGCTACTTACTCTCTTTTTTGACTCTTTTTATTGCTTCCATTGAGGATTTTCATTCCAGTTTGATAAATCATTTCAGCTTCCTGCATCTGTCGTCTCTTAGCAGCCTCTTCTTCAGCTAAAAATAAAAAAAAAAATCACATGCATTTGAGTGGATTTGAATACTATAGCAATTATTTGTCAGACATCGAAATATATTCTTTCTTTTGGGTGTCCATACAAAGAAAATGAATACTTCTTCACTATTTCCAAATATGACTCTAAGAACACCTAGGTTAAATGTTCCCATTTAACCTATTTAAGAGTGCTATACAAAATATATAAATGATTCTATCTATCTATACACACACACTATCAGGATACTGCTAGAGAGTTACTAATGCTGATACTGTTTATATAATTCAACTAAAATTTTAGATTCTATGCCAAGGTTAACTAAAATAAGAACAGAAAAATATTAGAAAACAATAATCTGAAAAAAACTGTTTGGTCAAAGAACACTTTAGCCCTCTCTGTAGCACTACATTATCTTGCAAGGATAAAGTGTTTAATTACATAATAAAAATTAGGAAAGTACTTTTATTAAATATTGTCTAGATTTGGTGTTTAGGGCCTTCAAAAATACTGCTCTGTATAGAAACCAATGTGGACATTTCTCCTACTGAGCAATACTTACTTTCACAGAAGCCCCACTTTTCATCTGTCTTATAGTTGTAGGTCGTGGCACACCACAGTCTGCCATCTTCCCGCCCATCTGATGTACATTCATCATATTCCTTATCCAGGAAAAGAAAAGGGAAGTGGCAGGGCTCCCCATGTGCTGTGCCTTCGATGGCAGTTAAGACTGGGAAGAGGAAAAATAAAAAGCTAAACACCAACTTAGGCAAGAAGTATCCTCAAGCCGGGTGCCAGTGGCACCTGTAATCTTAGCTACTCAGGGGGATGAGATCTGAGGATCGAGGTTCAAAACCAGCCAGGGCAGAAAAGTCCTTGAGACTTTTTATCTCCAATAAACCACTAGAAAACTGGAAGTGGCTCAAAACAGTAGAGTGCTTGCCTTGAGCTGAAGAGTGCAAGGACAGCATCCAAGCCCAGAGTTCAAGCCCCACAACCAACAAAAAAGAAAAAAAAAGAAAAATAAAGAAGTATCCTCAGGATGTATGACTCTATCCACTTATCCAAACTGAAACTTGCCTATATAATGTTTATTAGTGAGTTAATATAGTAGAAAGTAAGATTTAGATATTTAATTTATAAATATGATTTTTTTTAAAAAGGCTTCCCTGCCTTCTTTCTCCCATATGAGATCTATGTTGTGTGTCAATCTGACTGGGTCACATTGTCTAGATAGTTGGTTAAATATGGGTTCTGTTTCTGGAAGATGATTTTTGGATGAGATTAACGTTGAAATTGGTAGACTTTGAGTAAAGCAGGTTATACTCTATAACGTGAATTAACTTTGTACAGTCAGTTGAAGGCCTAAACACATCAGAGACTGATTAGTTCTGATTCTCTACACTACCTAACATATATTAAGCAAATTATTTCACAGTGCGGTATTTTCATTTAACACTTCACGGATGTCTTTTAGGAAACAGCAGAATGGCAAGGTATCTTTTGGGAAGGCTTTGACTACTCTGCTACAGGTATGCCTGAGGATAGAGGACATGGAGGTACAGAACTACCAGCTTTGAACATCTAGGACAGACATAAAAATGAGACTAATAAGGGAAACCATGGGGCCTATGTTTCTTTGGGCCTGGCTTACTTCACTTAATATAAGTTTTTCCAAGTTTTTCCATTTCCTAACAAATGGGGCTATGTCATTCTTTCTGATGGAGGCATAGAATTCCATTGTGTATATATACCACATTTTCTTGATCCATTCATCTACTGAAGGGCATATGGGTTGGGTCCATATCTTACCTATGGTGAATAATGCTGCAATAATCATAGTTGTGCTGGTAGCTTTAGTATAGCCTTGTTTGTGATCATTTGAGTAAATGCCCAAAAGTGGGATTGCTGGGTCCTAGGGGAGCTCTATGTGGAGTCTTTTGAGGAACCTCCATACTGCTTTCCAAAGTGGTTGAACAAGTTTACACTCCCACCAACAATGCAGTAAGGTAATATGTCTGAGTCAAGCAGAAAAGTTCAGATAAGTTGATGTTAGGGAAATGAACCCCAAGATAAGTATTCAAATGTTTTTTTTTCTTTCATGTAATTGTTTCTAACATATTTATAAGATGATTTCTTTGTTGCTTTGTATGTCCCTCCCCCATAGTATAACCCCTGCTTTCACTGTATTTGATGTTGGTATAATTTGTGGAGGGGAAAAAACAAATAGTTTAAATAGGGATACAGGTGGACCCATTGCAACAATGAGATGTACAAGTTGTTATGTCGAAAAATGAACTTTACAACTTTGGTGTGTGTGTGGGAGGACTGGGTGGGAGGTGCGGGAGGTATGGGAAGGGATGGGAAGGGTAAACAAAGGAGGAGGCAACAATGCTTGATAAGAAATGTACTCATTATCTTGCCCGTGAAATTGTAACCCCTTTGTACGGTATTTTCATAATAAAAAAAAATGAGACTAATTTACTATGGAGGCAAACAGGGAGAAGGAAAGAGCTAGAGTCCCTGATGGCACAAGATCTGACTGGGTGACCTGTGGAGCTCTGATTATTCAAACTATAAAAACCCTGGATTCTGCCACTGTTTGCTTTTTGTTATTTGCAACCAAACTTGTTCTTTTAAAACAGCTATAATAGAGAATTCCACAACATCCCCAGTCCTTTCTCTCTTTCTCTTTTCAAAGAGTTGAACATTTGAATTTCTACTAATACATACTCCAATGACCATTCCACTCTTAGGGGCCATTCATTCATTTTCAACAACTGTTTACTGAGATGAAGTGTAGAAAATAGTTTACACAGTTGAAAGAGCTATTAGGTTTCTGGCTGGTATCTGGGAGTTTAGATTTCAGTAGAGTTCTTTCCATACTAACTGAAAAAAGTGCCTCACTGGGCCTAAACTGTTTGTACAAACATGTGGTTTGAGCCTGGCACTGGTGGCTCACCCCTGTAATCCTAGCTACTTAGGAGGCTGAGATCTGAGGTTTGCAGTTTGAAGTCAGTCTGCACAGGAAAGTCAGTGAGACTCTTATCTCCATGAACCACCAGAAAACTGGAAGTGGTGCTGTGGCTCAAAGTGGTAGAGCACTAGCCTTTAGTGAAAGAGCTCAGAGACAGAGCCCAGGTCACAAGTTCAAACATGGTTTGTGCTCATTCAGTTTTCCTTGTTAGAGTCTACAATTTTGGGACATCCTAGACAGAGGTGTCTGCATCCTCAGTCAAAACCCTAGGCACTAGGTCTCTCAGGAGCTTCCCTAGTAGGTGGCATTTCATATGGGTTGTCACAATACACTGGAGAAATTTAGTGCATCCTGTAATTTAACTAGGTCCCATGAACTAGGCAAAATTTGCTCTGAATTTTCATTCCAGTTCCCTAGAGGAAATAACCCTGCTGAGAATGAAACTGGCTTCTTAAAGCCCTGGCACCATGAGAAAGACTTATCTATCAATTCAGATAAGACCTTCAACCCACAGCTCATATCTACATATGCAAATTTTCTGGCTTCAGTTGATCGAAGCCAAAACTCAAGAAGTGATTCTTGGCTTTTGGTTTCTCATTTTTATAAGCTGAAAAACTGCTGCAGGTAAGGCTGAGAAAGACCTGAGAATTTCTTTCTCCCCAGTTTTAGCCAAGATCACTTGGATCCAGAGCCAGGCCTTAAGACCTGGCTGAGAGTTGGAGTGGGTTGGGGTGGGACAGGATCCTTGGAAGCTGTGCCTTGCTTCCTTGCTTCCTCTAGACTTTGCCCCATGCACCTTTGTATTCTGCTGTAATAAATCAGAGCCAAGTCCTGTGATTCCTTCCCAGCAAATCATCACATCTTGGGATGGTCTTGGGCACCTCTTTACAGTCAGTACATAAGTGGTGGATTTGCTAGAGTGAAGCCAACACATGACAATATGATGAAAGCATTGTCTATAAAGAGCAAGAATAAGATCCAGGGCACAATACATCCTTAGTGTCCAGGTGGTTTTGGAGCCGTCTGTGACAGCTTCTGTCTGTAAGGAGAGGTAAAAGCTCCCTTTCAGATGTAAAAGTAAGGGTCCAACCACAGCAAAGCTGGCTTGCTGGATCTCCTGACTGCTTTTGGTCCTAGTGGCTAAAAATAGTGATGCACCTGAGAAGTAATGCCTTTGGTTTTTGTTCTGTCCTCCAATGGGAGGAGAAAAGGTCCCAAAATTCCCCAAGATGGGCTAAAAATTTTAAAAGTGTGTAGCGCTCTGAGGTCCTAGGAGCAAAACTTTCAATCAACCAGCCCCCCCCCCCCCCCCCCCGCAAACAAAAAGAAGCATCTATTCCTGGCTGCTAGAGTTGCTTAAGTTGCTAGCTTCTCTGCCTCCCTTCACCCACCACATTCTGGCATTCCTGGATCCTTCCCAGCTGCCTTAACATTAACAGAGCAAATTCCTACTTGCTCTTACTACGGGTTTGAGTAAACTGCTTTAAGACAAAAGCAAGCAAACAAACAAACAAGAAACCTGGAAATCCTCAGTGGCTTTGTATTTTATGGCTAGGGGATCTGGAAACATGGCAACATATAAAATCATAAATACGATTTTATAAAGGCTAAAGGGATTGTTCTAACCAGGGAAAGCTGCAAAACCAACCAACCAAACAAACCAGCCCCAGAAATGTGTTAATTGGG